AATATAAACTGCCTTGCAAAGCCCAGTCGCTGAGGGATGAATAGTTTTCGAGAAATCAAAGTTCTAAAAATTTCGAACTACGACACTACTTTGAAACGATATAAAACTGGTTTCCCGATGCGAGTGGTGATCGCCCACTTCAGGATCTGTGCAGTTTCACTAGAAGAATCTACAGGCGAAGTCGTAGAGACCCGCAACGAGTGAGCTACGCGTGCAAGGCGCTAGAGCCACGCGCTGCGAGCTATTTTGCCCACGCGCGCCCCGCCGTTTGACGCCATGCCTCTTATATCGGTGTCTGATGGCGGTTTTTGGTGTGTGGTCTGGCGGCTCAGGAAGTTGCGTGCTGGGTCGCGGGTCGTTTCGGCTCTCCGTGTTGTGGGTTCGTAATTTGAATTTTGGGGGTGTTTTTTATTTTTTTATTTTTTTACCCCAGATTATAGAAACTACCACGGAATGTTCGGCCTATAAATATAAACCGCCTGCCCTACAATGTCAGGACGCTGTGGGATGAATAGTTTTTGAGAAATTAAAAATGTAAACAAATTTACCTACATACTACCTACTTTGAGTCCTTTAAACGCAGGTATCTCGGTGCGCTAGCTACTCGCCTATTGCATGGTCTTTTCAGTTTTGCTAGAGATATCTACAGGCGAAATCGAGGCGCTGTGGCTCTAATAGAACCAGAGTTGTATGACCCGTTCCTAGGTACACGATGGGTTGCCTACCAACCAGGCGGATGTCTAGAGTAGAAAACGTACGTCGGGTCGTCCATCCCCCAGGCGGGACGTTTTCGGAAAGCGGCCGAAGAAAAACGTGTCACAATATGCCATCACTGCGGTTCCGGCAACCATCGGAAATCGAAGTGTGAAAATGCCGTAGACTTATCGAATTAATTCATACTGTTGTTTTGGAGTGACTAGGTGCTACGAAACTGTTTTTCTAAGGGCGGTTTAGACGTCCCTGTTTGAAGCTAGGCATTAGGCAACCTACACGGCCACACCACAGACCACAGACAGCATTATCCGAACCAACAGTAGAAATAAGTCCATGACTCTTACATGGCGGGCGACCTATCGTGGTGTCGTTGCACCGCGGCACCAGAGACTCGAAGGTCGGTGGTTCGAATCTCGGTCAAAGATCACTTTTCCTCTGGCCACAAAATTTCGAGTCCAGACTTTAAACCTGTCATTTTAGTGACGAACGGTTTAGTACACTAAGTACTTCGAGTTTGGCAGACTTTAGGAAACGAAAGGTCAAGAATATCTGTAATGTATTTATTTCCATTTCTAATGCACACAATCAACTTTTCATACCACATTTTTGTACAATAATGATGTGATTATGTACATACTTGCCTTCTTTTGTAAATCTTATTTTTGTGTTGCATGATTAGACTGAGCAGCACTTATGCTGCTGTCATAAGAAATATAAATTAAGTGTTCATAATATTCAATCTCATTAGGAGCATCGAAGTAACCGGTGCTAAATATCACAGCATCATCAAATGGTTAGTATAATCCTCTAACATTATATACACTATGTGCAAATTTACATAATTTTCATACAAAACCTACGACTCGTTACTACGGGAATTGGTTACACGGTAAATAACTGCCGCCGAGTCGTGCCGCAAGTTAAATCAAAACAATGATAGAATTGATAGAGTTGTATGCCTGAATAGATCTACAAAAACAAAACTTTTCTTGTCTGGAATGCTTAGAGTTATAACACAGAAAAATCTTACATACAAGATGATCATTTTAAGTAGTTAAGAAAAATTTCAGCGATGGAACTTAGTAACAATAACAATTAGCTGAAATGTTTGATTTAATTTTAGTTATGACATAAAGAATCTGAAAACAAGAATGGTTTCTACCATGAGAAACTATTCCGAGATTCACACTAACAGGAAGTAATTGGGGAGAAACACAAAACTTTCCTTACTAACAGAACTGTATCTAGATTTGCTTGGCATGTGGACTAAATATAAGTTCAAACATGTACAGAAGCATGTACGAAAAAGAAAAATCAGTTTGTCAAAATTTAAATAAAATACTAGTAAGTAGGATTAGCATAATTGTAAACAATGAGGGCTGTTTCAAGTTTGATCTTCATCAAATTCAGTTTAGGTAACAACATACAGGAACAATGGATTACTATAGTGTTTTTTTAATTGTTTCTTGCCTGTGATTTTCAATTAGATAAATGAGATCAAATTTGTTAGATATGCAGAAAAGAATTGACCCATGCCAAAACTAGGTAAGTTTTCTGTCCCACGCCCTTAACCATGACATGCTCCAGAAATGACATGAATGCTTTACTTGATCATGGCAATTATATTAAAACACAGAAAATAAAATTTTGTCGGGCCGACGTCGGTGCGACTGAACTAATCGTCTCGGCGCTGGTCCGACATTTAACAGGCACCCGGCTCTCATCCTGCATCCTGGACTAGCTCCGCAGCTGCATGCCGTTGATCATGATGTTGGCCAAAGCGTTCCTCCTCTTCCTCCACGACCCGAGCCCCTGTGCATGGACCTGCAGCTGCCGGTACCAGGTTCGAGTCCGCTCAACATCCTCCGCCTGAAATGGAAGAGAAGAAGAAGAAACTGTTTTAGAAAATTTGGAACACCGTGAATGAGAAGAGTTATTGCGTGTTGAACACGTACCTTGAAGACGAAGGAATCTTTGGTTGCAAGCTCCTGTACTTCAAAGTAGTCATCCCAGTCCACCTCGCAGCATACCATACATTTGTCCAGGAAGAGGGGGTCCTGCAATACAGTCAAAGTGTGTTGGAATGTCTCTTTAATAAAGTGATGCTCTGCCAGGCGTGGATCCAGGAAGGAAAGGAGCGGGGAAGAGGCCATGGGAACAAACCGCCTGGTGGGTAGGCAAAGTGTGCTGGTCACTTCACTTGCTAGTAGGCAAAAGCTGTGCTCTGGCCTGAGGTTTGCTGGATCCGCGCCTATGACCCGAAGTAGCCTTCTAGGTCGTGATAGGTTTTGTCGGCGGGAATGGAAACAACCGTCATAGAGTGAAA